AAGCGGTTCTGTTTTGAAATATAAACAGAACCACTTCCTCTTCTGTATGAACATTTCTGTTCATTTCTGTTCAACGTTTCACATATTTAATTCTTTTCAGCTTTTGCAGACATAAATTTATGTAATCTAAACTTATGTTTAGATTCTAGGGGGCGCTGTGGTTCTCCAACCTGCTCTGTTGAGGTCGATGAGCGTCTGACTGTTGACGTCATTGTGCAGACTCTTGCCGCTGTCTTGTTCCAGCTGAATCTGTTTGATGTGCACATTCTTCCTCATCACCTGGTTCCTCTTCCTCCCTCCCAGGAAGCTGTAGGTGAGCATTCCGTCCACCGCCACCGGGCGGCGCTGCTGTGTGATCTGGTACCCAGCCTGGAGGAGAAAAGCTGCCTTAAGTCCTGGTGCTGGGTGATGTCACAGAGATGTCAAACATTTCTACCCACAGTTTCTCTATTGGTGTGAACTTTGACTGAGGTGTTTGCTAATTGACGCTGGCTAGTCTGAAGGAGCTGAGTGAGGTTTCTCTGTGAGAAGGAACCAGTGAAGCTCGGAAACTGCAGCTCAGAGGGGTAGCTGCCTCTTAAAGGCGGTGCTACGTCCACTGAGCGGTTGCCACCGCTGAATGGTTGCCATGGGTGATTATCAAAAAACATTGATCAAAAATGCATTAAAGAATCAAAGCAATAATCCAGGTTTCTTTTTGATGAGAGAATAACATTATGACATGATGTAAAGCTAAAAAAGTTGATTTTAAATAATACTGCCCGACCGTATTTTAGGCGTTCCTCTGATCCTGTGGGCCTAAGAATTAATTTACCATGTTTCTATGGCAACTGCATCACAAGAACTAAACATTAATCACACTTATGCTAAAGACAGAGAAGGTGGGAGAGAAGATAGAAGGCAGGTTGTTAGTCAGCAGCTTCCTGATGCCATCAATCTCTTCCTCTTCCTGTAACAGCTGAGCGCAGCAGCCGCCGATCAGAAGCTACAGGAAGCCGTTCCTGCTCTGCCACCTGCACTCACCAAGCTGCTCTCTGCTGATTTAACTGTCTACAACAGTTACTATGGGAAACTGTAGCGTGGAGCATTTCCGATCCCATATAAATATCTGTATCTGTTCCAAAACTGAACAAAATATCTAGATCGGGTATCGTGACAGTGTGTCCAGTACATAAGGGGCCGATCTATTCATTGTAGTTCTAGGTTTTTGTTAATTTTTATTTTACATTTATTTTGCATTTTAGTTTGTGGATATTTTATCAAGATAGTTGTTTTTGTCAGATTTCAGTTTTACTTTGAATGGGTTTAGATCATGGATGGAATCTCTGGATTACATTTCTTGATGGATATTAAAACAAGCCAAACAGATTCAAAAGACACAAAGACCTGTTTTACATAAGATGGAAAATAGCAAAATAACAAAATATATTTTTTAAATGATTTAAGTCTCAAGTTTTATTTTTCCTTTATTTAAATTTTCATTCATTTCTATTTATTTGAAATTAAGCTGGACAATTTATCCTTTGTATTAAACAGCTTGCAATACAAACAGTCAAAATACATTAAGTTGCAGCTAATTTTGATAAGACGGTTTTCTCACTATTACACTTCTCCTCCACACAGTCTTATTAAAATAGCAGAAGACATCTTTGATTAACAATCGTCCTCCTTATTATCTTTGCCCTGAGCCGTCCATAATCCTTTTTAGTAGACTTGGGCAGACTTTGCCGATTTAAAATGCTAAACTCTTTAGCACCTCCTACCTTAGAATTTCTATAAATTTTAGGAGAGGTCTCTGTGGGGGAAACCGTGACATTTAATCTTTTCCTTAAAATGTCACACATAATGCCAGGAAAATTAGCCCCAGGCCCGGGGAGGTTGGGAAAGATCACTGTGCAAGCGGCTCGCTTTGCAAAGAAAAAATGAGGACCAGCAGCAGGAGAACGGCGAGGTTTCTGACTGGAGAGCCCCAGTTATTCATGTCACCATTAAATTGCTAATTCTAGACTCCACAAACAATTATAATGAAACAGAATCAATCTATGGCACATGAGAGATTGGTTGTATTCAGGAAAAAAAGTACTAGTTCTAAATAATGGAAAATATATCTCGTTCTAATTATTTTGCTAAAACTAGTAATTTTCCATCAGTACTAAGGAATTAATGAATTACCATAAGCTCCTATTCCTTTATAAAAAGCTACTGGTAAGATTGTTTAGCCTTATTTCATATGTACTGATACTTGGACTAGAAACAGATAAAAATACTTGGTAACATTTTATGTTTTTGTGTTGGGGACACCTTTGGGCTGTCCTAATTTATTCCTTAACATTTAGCTTTTCTTTTTTCATAGGTTTTATGAAGGTTATTTTTTCAGTTTTAATCATTCATTTTAATTACAATAAGTAATTTTCTTGCAATAATTAAAATAGTATAAAATCTCCATATTTTCAAATATGTAATAAGAACTCAAAGATTCTCGGGGTGTAATTTTTTTTCAGACTACACAGGCAGCTATAGAAGATGAGGACCAAAGCAAACAAGCTGCTAATTAAAAAGGGTTCATGTTTGAAACTTAAAGCTAATTTTCTTTCATTTAAAGGTCATCAACTATGTTCTCTTGAACGTGCGATAAGAAACATGTTTATTACATTTTTTTTTTTTGCACAAAACGATTCTTAGAGATTTTAGTCTGCTCAGTTCAACTTATTTTGCTTTAGGGCCTCTGTCACTTTAATCTAAATAAGCTCCTGCTGGCCACGCCTCTTAACTCAACGTTCACAGGCGCACGTGACAATGGCTGTAAACAGACACGCAATTGTACATCTTTGATAAGCAGACGTAGAGACTCCTACACAACCAGCAAGAGGTTTCTGGATGGCAGGTCAACAACAAAACATTTGTCTTTACCAGCAGGAACTGTACATCTAGATGGGCAGAAAGGTGCTGGAGCTCTGCGTGGGTTGCTACATAACGGGGCTTGGCTTGGCTGGTGCAGTGCCGGTCACATGCAACTTTGAAATGGCTCATTTTCCAGACACCAAAGAAATGTTTTCATTGCTAACAAACGGCGGGGTGTTTTATTTTTGGGTTGTGTTTAGAGGCAGTAGAGACCCAAATGGAGGTATATAAACATGCATAATGTGAATTTTGCATAATAGGTCTCCTTTAACAGTTGAAGGCAAATATCTATTCATGCAAACAAATCCAGACTTTCTGCCTCCTGTGGTAGCACCTTTCTACTTACGAATCGCAAATATTTTGCAGAACATGGATAACACACACTCACAGGAAGGTCGGCATAAAAGTAGTGTTTCCTGTCGAAGACTGACTTCTTGTTTATGGTGCAGTTGAGAGCCAGTCCGGTCATCACTGCTGCTTCGACGCATCGCCTGTTGAGCACCTGGGAACACATGGCAACATTAACATTCTTCTAGAACAAACAAAAATAATATAAACAGGTTAGGTTTAATATGAATATGCTAAATAATATGACTCACGGGAAGAGTTCCAGGCAAAGAGGCGTCAAAGAATGAAACCAAGGAGTTTGGAGGAGCTAAAAACTGAACCGAGGAGCCGGAGAACAGTTTGGTGTTTGAGCTAATCTGCGCGTGGATTTCCAAACCGACCACTCCGACCAGCTGCTGCGGAGCGCTGAGGTACCAAACACACACAAGAGAGAAATGGATGACAGAGATGTCCGTGGCAGAAGGAACACAGTGAACATTACAACATTTCTTCATGTCTTCTCCAGTCCACATTCTCCTTCTGTTTGTTTTACAAAGAGCTGCTTGATCTGCAATAAATGTCAGCTAATTATTTAAACAGGCTCTCCATGTGCGAGATATATTTGCTGACAATAGTTGTGTGAAGCAGCGTAAAGCCTTCCAAGGCTAACAGCAGGTATTTTTAATAAAACTTCTTGAAATGTTTATATTTTTCTTCCAGCAGCTCAATAGGCTAATTGTTATCTGCGGTTTGCTTGCCATGAAATAAACTTGTCACAATAAGCAATTAGTCAGTTAATCAATTAATCAATTATCTATTTTTTTGAGGAATTTTTGTTTATAGAGACTAAATAACACATTTTATTGAAGGGTCCAGTTTTGTATGGCTTTTAATTTCCTTTTTTCTTATGGATTTTGGTTGATGTAACTTTTATGTTTATTTTCGTTCTTTACAAAATAAAAGTTTCTAAGTCTTTCAGGAGGCAAACTTGTATCATTATGTCATTATCATGTTAGATGAGAATGGTCAATTTAAGTTTGACTTTCCGAGCCAATTTATCATCCAGCAAAATTGGTTATCATGACAGATCTACTATGAACTCAATGTAGTAAGACTTTTCATTATTCATTTATGGCAGGTCATAGTTTTTTTTTTTTTTTTTTTTTTTTTTTTGTTGCACAAGTATTTCGTATCACAGCATGGTGCATGCACCGAACTTCTGTCAAAGTTGTTTGAGATGGCAAAGGTTCAGTCAGGAGAATTTCTAAATGTTAGCTTGACTGTTAAAATGTTATTTTACTTCATCAACATACAAACAAGTACATCCAGCCTCACCATTGTTTACCGCAGATAAGACACTGACTGTTCGTAAATACTGAACCCCGAAAACCGAGAACGTTCAAATGATTTGTATTTTTGCTTTCACACTCACCATGACATTGAGACAGAATAGATTAGTAAAGAAAAGAGTTCACCTTTTCTCCAGAGGCTGACTGCTGCATTGAAGTACAGATGTCCTGATCCGTCTGATAAACAAACAGGAAGATTGTTGATAATAAGGTATTAATTTGGTGTTATGAAGCAGCTCCCTGGCTGCGATACAGGAGGCGGCCATGATGGCCCAGTCGCTCTGATGCTCATGGGAGTTGTAGTACTTTAAAAGTGAACTTCAACGTCTAACAGAGCGGTGCTGCTGCTTAATACTACAAACCCCAGCAGCTAACGAGGGAGCTTTAAACGAGCCCAGCTTCCGTTCAGAATGCGTCATTTCCGCTACACCGACTGGCGGGACTTCTTCACCTGCTAGAAATATTAGGAACGGATTGTTTCCAGCCATTGTCAGATTATTTTCAGGCACGGAAACGAACACAAGCCTTTAAAACATGATGGCAAGAAGCGGGAAAGACTCCCGAGGACTGAAAGACGACATGGTTGTGTTCTCAAACGGGTGCCGGGAGGAGCCCTCAGGGGGGGACGGAGGACTCTCGGAGGCCGAGTCCAGTTCCAAGGGAACAGCAGCAGCGGTCAGCCCGCAGAAGTTCACCTTCAGCCCGGAGCCCAGCATAGAGGACATCCGCAGGATGCAGGCCGACTTCACGGACGAGCGCGACTGGAATAAGTTCCACCAGCCCCGCAACCTGCTCCTGGCCATGGTCGGGGAGGTGGGCGAGGTGGCGGAGCTCTTCCAGTGGCGGGGAGAGGTGGCGGAGGGTCTGCCGGACTGGACCGAGTCCGAGCGGGAGCAGCTGGCGCACGAGCTGAGCGACGTGCTCATCTACCTGGTGGAGCTGGCCGAGAAGTGCCGCGTGGACCTTCCCCAAGCGGTGCTGCGCAAGATGGCGCTGAACCGACTCAAATACCCCGCGAGCAAGGTGCACGGCTCGGCCAAGAAATACACAGAGTACAAGGACTGAGAGCTGGAGGGAGCAGGGCAAATAAAACCTAACGTTTTATTTCCAGAGACTGACTGGACACAAGTCCGCTGTAAGAACCAGGCTCTTCCGGGTTCTGGCTCAGGCTCAGTTTCAGGGAAGAAGATGTTTCTCCCTGAAGTTCAGGAGCTTTAAGATTTGGGTTCAAAGGTGACTGTCTGGATGAAACCGTCCACCATAACACTGAGAGGGATTGGCTCATGTTTTTTTTTTTGTTTTTTTTTTTTTGTTTTTTTTTTTTAACTATTTAGTTTTTGTAAAAAATTTTTGTCCAAATCAGTTTTTGTTATTTTTTTTTTTAAATAGTAAAAAATATTAAACAATCTGATTTGTGTTCTGTGTTTCTAACCTTAAATCTATTGAGTTACTAGGACTTTAATTTGATTCCCTAGTCAGGAGGCTAAATGTGGAGTAAAATGACATTTATACAAAATGAAAGTCCACGTTTCAGACATAGTTGAGAAACATTTTGCCATCTTTCATGTAATCTTTAAGAGTCAAATGAGAATTTTGTGTTATGTTTGACAGGATTCTTTCATTTGTAGCTGAATGAAATAGATTCTATGAATTTAAAATCCATTTAGAATTAATTTAACTATTTAAACAGAATGCTTGTCCATTTTCAACTCTTCACGCTGTCAATGGTTCAATTCTACAGTTCTAGAAAATGAACAGAACTATTTTTAAACTGAAGAAAATGATCTAATTTATGTCTTGGAGGGAATGTATCAGTTTGTTTATTAAGGTTTATTTTAAACATCTGTAAATTGTCAGACATTAAAAGTTATCAAAATGCAAAGTTACGGTAGGTATAGAAAACGTTGACCTTATGCTTCAATTTCTGACAGTTTTAAAGATTTGATTAAATCCAGTTTGGAAATAGATTCATCTTACATTTTTAAAACGACACTAGTCCTTCAACAACAAGCCAGTGTGTTCTTCAGTGTTCTGCATATGAAGAGTTAATATTTATTTTGAAATTGAAAAGAAACTTTAGTGATGTAAATAGAAAATAAATGACAGTTTCTGCATTTCTGTAAAGTACAATAAAATCAAATTGTGCTGTTGTAAAAATCTGCTTTATTAGGCAAGTTTTACTCTCAAAAACATTTTAAATACACTAACATTTTGGAAGAGCAATGAAAAAGTCTTGCGACTATATAAATCTATCGTTATTACACGTCCATATTTATTCCAAATAACTTTCTGTTTCAGATGAACTGTTTGGCCATGCTTACCAGCCTTGGCATTCACAACAGGCTCTGCTAGCTGCAGCATAGCACAGAGCAAGAGGAGGAATACAGGGATGATTGACAGCGCTAAGATCCACCTCCTGGCTCTGATTGGTTGGTTTTAGTTAGCAGTGGGAGGAAGCAGAGAGCTCCATTTCCCCCCCACAGATTATCTGTCTCATACCGTACTGCTGAGATGTAGTGACAGTGTCAGCAAATATGTTAAAAAAACATTTTTCTGAAAGTTTCAGCTGCTTTAACTTTTATTATGTTAGCATTGAACTGCGTCACCTCGTAGCTCCAGTGTTTGTCCCTCGCTGTGACGCACAGGGGCAGTTCCTACCTCAACAGGTAACTAGACTTTCCTTTTGCATCTGTTTCTTCATTCATTCGTACTATGTGTTCATTAATGTCATTCCTCTTGTGTGTTCGTTCCAGTGCCATGGACCCACTGGAGATTGTTGGTGTGTTGACAGCAGTGGACAGGCGAGAGCAGGAACTAGGACTGCACCTGGCGCCTCACCTGTAGACTGCAGGACACCAGGTAAGAAAGCTGCCTCCAGCAGAGGATGGAAGACATCAGTGCAAAAAAATAACAAAAAAAGAAAAACTGAGTTTATACCAGGAGACAATCACTTTTTGATCCAATTTTCTGTAAATTATTCAGATAAATTCTACAGATTGTGCCTTCAATAATTTCAGACTTTTGTATATTATATTAGAAATACATTAAAAGATGCAAATAAACAATTATGCCATTTTTTAATGAAGAAAATAAACATTTTATTACCTAAAATGTAAAAACAAAGCATTCTTATTTGCAGCATAACATAGAGCTGCAGATAAAAAATGCTTCCAACATCAACATATCAAAAACTCAAACTTATTTTGTTGATTAATTTTGAATTTATCAATTAGCAATGGGGTATAAAAAGATATTTAGTAGAATATTTTAACAGAATTTGAACCAGGTGAGGCTAAAATTGTTTAGATTAAATGTAAAATTTATGTATTTTTGTAAAGTTTGGCTGAATTACAGACTTATTTTGAGTCTGTATACTCCACTTAACAATTAATTGATTACTTCATTAGTTAAAGATTATTTTAAAAATCGATTAATCCGATTTTTTGTTTCTGTCCTAATTGCTTTATCTCAATTAGATTTATAAACTTATTTTCAACGCTAAAGTGGGCAATGACAGTGAGACGTGGAGGGTCAAGGTTGGGAGGAACGCTCCCTCCGATCTGAACTTGAGTGCTGTTCTGTTGTTGGACTTCTGTGCTCGTCTCAGATCGTCCATAACAAACACCATGTTCAGGCATAAGGGTTTCCATATGTGCACTCGGCACCAGGACACCTGAGGCCGAAGTTTGATGATCGACTTTGTCATCGTTTCATCATATCCGCGGCCGTATGTCTTGGACACTCAGGTGAAGAGAGGTCCAGAGCCGTCCACTGACCACCTGGTGGTGAGTTGGCTCCAGTAGTGGGGGAGGATGCCAGTCAGACCTGGCAGGCCCAAATGTGTTGTGAGTCTGAATGGAACATGTTCTGTGCCTCCATTGTCGAGGCGGCTTATCAGAGCTGTGACCGTGAACACCTTCGGTGTCAGGCTGAAGAAGGAGTCCTATCGGGCCTGTTTGGCCTGCGGGACCCAGAAGCAGCTGATGTTTTGAAATTGAATAGTGAATGTTTACCAGTCGGGTAACAAATATAGTCTATTCCACAATTCAGACCCTAAATTTGAGGTGGCTCTTTAGACAGTAAAGTTTATGTCTCTTCACTTTGTATAAATCCTGATTAGTTGATCCCAGAGGCTAAAGCTAACAGCCAGTCTGAGAATAGCCAAAACCAAAGTGAACTCCAGTCTCAAAAATGTTATTGCCTCATGTGTAAATGTTTTTTCTAAATTTTTTAAACCATCATCTTTGTGTTGGGAAGTTATTTTGATGGAAGTCAATAATTACTTACACAAGAAAATGAAAGTAGAAGGTTGTTCAAGGAAACATTTCTGGTTAGAGTGATAAACAGGTTCAGATAGCATAAAAATCATACTGACTGATTATCTCCTGCTATTGCTATTGTAAATAATATATAGGTGTGTTTCCATTGATCATATTATTGTGCAAGTTGGATTTACAATAATAAATTTACCTAATGGAAACACACCATTTTGAAAAAAAACATTTTTTTTTTTATAAATTTTTTTTTCATTAGGTTGAGTTGGTTTTCTAACTGTATAAATTGGTTTTCTAACTGGAATTAGTGTATTTCACAAAACTACAACAGAAACACATTTTTCACATCACGTGTCATGTGATCAACAACTGGATGTTACTACTGGCAGAAATAACAAAGAAGATGACAGGAAGTATTAGAGAATGATGCTGCTGCAGGTAATTTTTTTTTCTCATAAATCCTTTATTGTCACGAGCTAAATATCATATTCATTGTTCCAGGTAGGGAAAGCCATGCCATGTTGTATTTTACAATGAAGTTACAAAAAGTAGCTATTAAAACAATTGAAATCTGTAATGCTTTGAATTAGCTTAGCTTAGCTTTTTCTTGAACACTGTTTATCTGTATTTGTTTTTCTTGAGGCATAACAAATGTTTCACTCTGGTGTTATACAGTGTGCCTGCAAATAAAGTAAAAAAAAAAAAACATCTTACCCGTTCCTCCTCCCTCCCACACAACAGACTTCTTGTGGCTTTGATGTAAAACTGTGATGTCACTCATCCTCTCTGTGACATCATTGGTGACTGTCTCTATATTCCAAGATTCCACAGAGAGATTCATTTGCTGTTTCAGAAAGTTTGATAAACACATCAACGATGGCACAAAACAATTTATTTACGAAAGTGCAAGTTTTGGAAGAGGAGAACCAGCGGCTCAAAATCACGGTGGACAAACTGAGGAGCAAAATTGAACGTATGTCCAGCAGCACTGACAGCAATTTAAGGTACATCAAAGAACAAAACAAAATGCTTTTTGATTTAAAAGAGCAAAATGAAAATCAGATCAAGGACCTGAATAAAGAATTGCTGGAGGCAAGAGCCACGATTAAATGTTTGAAAAATGAGTTTCAAGATATTAATAGGACAAGTCAACAAATTCAACAAACAAATATATCAATTAGGAGACATACACAAAGTTCATCAGTGGAGCATGCCAGAAATCGTGTTTGGATGGAGTCAGAGAACAAAGAACTAAACGAGGAAATTGTGACTCTAAAAATTAAACTAGACAGAATTAAATATAAAAAGAAATTACAGGAGATCCAGACCACAGAGGAAAAAGAAGAGACGAAGCCAGAAGAGACCACACCGACAATGTGTCAGAGAGTCGGGCGTGTTTTTCGAACAATGTGGGAGTCGGGAACTTTGGGATATTGGGTCCCGTCGTGGATATTTTAATAATTCTCCTAATCTGCCATCTCAACAAAAAACAAATTCAGGGGCAACATCTTGAGAAGAAACATGCCCGACTCTCTGAAGCATTGTTGGTGTTGGGGTCTCTTCCAGAGAGCAGGTCTGGGTTGAACGATGGAAGGGTTTTGGAGAGGAGGTTTTTTTTCTTTTTTTAGAAAGTTTGGAAACTGCTCTTCCAAACCTCGGATTGTGGAAGAGCAGTTTGGTTTTCTTCCTGGTCGAGGAACACTGGACCAGCTCTACACCCCCAGCAGGGTCCTGGAGGACGGACGACTGGACCGACGGATGGACGGGCGACTGGATGGACGGACGGATGGGAGGATCGAAGGACGGAAGGACGACCGGATGGAAGGACGGATGGATGGACAGACGGATGGATGGACAGACGGAACTTTTTCACGTGGGATTTCCTTTTTCTGTTTCCTGTTGGTTTTACATCTTCTGCAGCACATATGTCAAAGTCAAGGCCTGCGGGCCGGATCCAGCCAATGAAGCCGCTGCAGCACGAGTGGCTTCATTTCATCAGCAATCAGAGTGGAGATCAACTTTCAGGTTCCCCTCCTCAGAAATGGT